AGAGACATCTGGAAAGATTCAACCACAATCACAGTCCATGTTACAACACACTGAATGATTACTGAGAGTAGAACTGTTGATGTTACTGTACTCAGGCGTCCTGCTCCTCAGTGCACCAGACTTTCCTGAACGCTTCACGGTGGGTCACATTTGTGTGGGCATGATCTCTTTGTCCTTGCACAAGCACAGTGCCATGAATTATTTTTTGTGTGGTACGACACCATGACTTCTCCCAATCGACTGCAGTAAGAACCTGTGAGCTCATCAGTGGAGATGCATGTCTTTGACTGAGGGGTTCCTGAGGGGTGGATGTGGATGCGTGCAGCAGTTGCTAGGTAATAAGGTAAACTTTCATATTTCTGCTACCAGTCAAATATTAGTGCAGGCAACATCACTGTTGTACCTGATTTCATTTGTTCACAGACACAGGATTGGACATAACCAGGAAGGAAACAGAAAAGCAGCTGAAGGAAAAAAAACTGAGGTTTTATTTGAAACTATGAAGTTCTAAATTAGAAGTGCATCTTCACAAAAAAGAATATTCATTTTCCAGGACAGTTGCTCAGAAAAGAGAACAATCCTGGAAAAAAATGTGGATGGATGGCAACCCTACTTGGCACAGTGATTGTGGTTGGAGCTGGGATGGTGGAAGATGTAGCAGGGCGCCTCTTCTTGCACAAACACAAATGTTTAATGGAGTCTGGTTTACGGAGCAGCATTGACTGACAGTAGATTAAGAGGTAGTTCCACTGTGATCTGCAATCTACACCGCTTCTGCGAATGGCGTACCCTGAAGAACTTTATTATTCTATGATCAAACTATTAAAAAGTGTTCATTTGGAGTATCCAAAATCTGAATCAAATATCTGGAGACCACAATCAAATCAGAGATGGACTTGTTTTAGTTCATGCTCAAATAGAATTGATCATAACATTCAGGCAGTTTTTTACATTTCCTGAGAGAATGTTTGCACGCATACCTTCATGGAGAACGCTCGAGAACCTGAATTAACTTTACAGGTAGAACAAAGTTGAGTGAGTGAATGGGAAGTGTAAGTCTTTGAAGCATTTGGGCAAACATCTCAGTTCTTTGGAGAGCCTCATTGGTCATACTGAACATTTTGAGCTCATTTTACAGACATAAATCAGTCGGTCATTGAACGACTTTTTATACAAAGAAGGATATTTACTGAAACAGCTGAAATAAGGTTGTTCAATCTTCACTCTCAACTCTGTCTCTGGGAGTTCACACGGAAGGAAACTGTTGCACTGGCTGGATTTTTTTTTTTTTGAAAGACTGAAGACTGAATAAGATACAAACCTTAAACACACTGTCAGCGCAGCGCCATGTTGGGGAGTCGATGTAATTGAAAAATGTTGAATTACTCAATGAGGACCTCTGCTGGTCAAAGTTAGAGATAGTGCTGTGTTGTAAAATGTTTCACAACCAACCAACCAATAAGCAAGCAAAAATGAATGAATTGTTAGATGAATGAATGAATACATAAATAAATAAAACTGTTCCAGTGCATACTCCAAGTAACTGAAGAACAATACAGTCAATACTTTACATTGTGGATTAGGATCTGGTAACAAAGGCATCTTTTAAGAGCATTATGACCCCAGCAGGGACAGCACCACTGACTTACAGCAGATTCCTGTGGACTTACAGGTTCACCAAACTTAATGAGGAACTCTGAGCCATCATCATTACTCTGAGACTGTCACACTCACATCTGTCCCACTGTAAACAATGGCAGGTAGGAACCATAAATACTCCAATTATTTCCAGCCCTGTGTTATGAATATTCAACTTAAATGTTTCATATATATAAAATAAATAATTCAAAGTCCTAAATTAATATTGCACAATTTAATAAGCAACATTAAGCAGTTTGGCAAACCTGCTGTTATGGCTCAGCAACAAAAATGGGAGATACATGGGTATACCGCAATCAATGAAGTTATTTATTTCTAATAAGGTTATCCGAACAAAAACAAAAAAGTCGATGGGAGGAATCTGTGAAGTCAGCGATGTCGGGAGTGGCTGAGAGAAAATGTGCTGCACGGGTTAAGGACCAAAACCCAGACACTGCAGGGCGGTGTGGTGAGGAGATCTTATTTAGTTTATTACTGAGGAAGTGAAAACAGTGCAGTTAATGTTCGCGGTTGACTGAGGTTTTGTAATAAATTACTGGGGCTGGAGCCCGAGTCCATGTAACTAGTAAAAGTCTGGACTGGCTTCTTATGAAGACTGGAGCCTTCAGGCTGCTTTAATATGCTGACTGGCTACAGAGGGCACAAACACACTGCAACATCTGAATTCTTCCATCTGAATAAATATTGTGAACAATATGTCATATGTAATGTAATGTAATTAGAAGGTAGATATAAGTTTTTTTTTTTAAGTATATTTTTTGGGCTTTTTTATGCCTTTATTTGATAGTACAGTAGAGAGACAGGAAATGGGGAGGCAGGGAGAGGGGGAATGACATGCAGCAAAGGCTGTCCGATGCGGCACTTGACCCGGGGGCGCCTGCTTAGACCACTACGCCACACGACGCCCCTGGTAGATATAAGTTTGATATATAAATGTTTGGTTGGTCTGGTCCAAGTAGTCTTTCAGTAACTGAGAGAAATGCAAAAAAGTTGCAACCGTCCCCAGTCTCCCCCATTCTCTCTGCATCCATGGAAATCATGGGACATGTAGTGGATGGATACTAAATAAATAATCATTTTATTATTATGAAAAATGTCCTTCAAGCCAAAGGTTGTTAAAGGCACAAAGTTAGCAGCAAGGAGCTGCTCAGAGCTGATTCCAGCTCTGTCAGTGTGTCCCTGTTTACATCACCTGGAGCTGCAGCTGCAGCTCTACAAGTGAAGTGAAGCAGCTGCTGGCACAGAGCTGTAAGAGTCAGAGCTGCTCTGATCTGAAGATCTCATCCTCTTTGTTGTTTTGCACTTTGAAAGACTTTGGCACCTTCTGTTGTTTTGCCACTGAAGCAGGACGGGGTGAAGTTCCAAAGAATGTTGGACCCTACATTTCCCATAATGCAACTAAGTAGCATTTTTTTAAACCCTGTCTAGACCTTAGGTTGTAAAACAGACTTCCTGTAAGAAAACACTCATCATGACTATTAAACTGACCTTTGAGTAAAATCACTGATTTCCTCTCTGCAGCACTGAGAGTAAGAACGTGTATTAGTAACTAGAATCACCTCCTTGTGGTCGTATCCCTCCTCCACTCAGACTAGCTTCAGGTTACATCACTGTTTATCCAGAGTCAGAGAAAATATGAACCATCTGTGAGAAATTTTGCCATGCTGTGAAGTCTTGAGGTATGGCTAAAAAGTGTTTTCTGAGGTCATTGTGACCTTTGACCTTTGACCACCAAAATCTAATCAGTTCGTGCTTGAGTCCTAGTGAATGTTTGTGCCAAATCTGAGGAAGTTTCATTGAGATGAGACGGACGGATGGACAACCTGAGAACCGGAGACTGTCGCCGGTGTGGATGCATAAAAAGACTGGAGTCACTGTTGTGTTGTCACAAACCTTTTATTGCAGCTCCCAGAACAGATCACTTACAGAAAACTGTGATACTTCAAATCTCATCATCATTATCATCAGCACTTCACAATAATTTAATCACCATCATCAGCGTCTACAGGACAGTAGTAGATCTGCAGACCCCCACACACTTCACTGCCTGTATCACAACCTCTCCATGTACACGTCTTCTGATCAGAGATTAGTCATGAACACATGAAATGATTTTCACTGGGCTGCGGCTGCGGCTGCGGCGTGCTCTCTGTTTGAATTGTATTGCTTTTCCTGGTTCTTATAGAATATAATGTTGTCCTGAAGTAGCACAGCCCCTTCAACCTGCCTGTCACAAAACAGCTTATGGCTTTGTAAAAAAGCTTTTAAAGCATTTTCAGAAAAATTAGGTTCTTTACTTTAATCCAAGTTCTTTTTAAAAATGTTCCTCTTAAAAATCTAGAAGCTCTCTCTTTGTAAAGAATGAAATCTTCAATGTCAAAAACAGTTCACATTGACTTACAAAGTGTTAGGAAGTAGAAAAGGCCAACTAGTGTTACACAGAGAAAAGACGAGACATCCTACAGAAGAACGGCTACTGCACCACGGGGACACGTCCCGTCCCTACAGACGACCTGCACTTAGAGACTGTGAGGACTAGAGACAGAGCGGGACTGTGACACCAAGACAAAGACTTAAAACTGAGGAATGTTTCTCTAATGTTCCTCCCACTCTAGTGTTGTTTTGTTGTAATTCACTCCTACAAAAATCACTTCTACATGTCGTTCAGTCCCAACACCAGCTTAAAGTCACAGTTACATCTCATCCAACACAAGGTGATAGAAGGAGGATGATCAGCTGCAGATCTGTTTATCAGCAACAAAGAAGATACAAAAACTTCTCCTTTGGCTTCTCAAAGTTGAGTTATGTGATGGAATAACTTTATGCTCTGATCTGCTTTAAAAAAAAAACTCATCAAGACGTCTGACGTCAGTCTGACGTTACAAAGGAAACTGAGAAAGAAACATGTCAGCGAGTTTCCCTTTAACAAAGTTTATAAAACACACAATGAACAGAAGGAATGAGGCAGTGACGTTTGACCACTGATCTGTTAACCCTCTGTGAGCCAGAGGTATCTTACACTCAACCTGCTGTTAAAGGAAACAGGATCTGGCTCACACAGGTTTAAAAAGCTTCAGTCCAACCTTCCTGCCTGAATCAGCCTCCATGTGGAGCTGGTGTGTTTGCAAGAACCATCCTGACACGACTGTGTGACAGCATGTCCTCATTCACATCACAGTTCAAACACAGAGCTCAAGTTCAATAACAACTTCACTTAAACCTTATTTGATAGTCTGCTCAGATCTTTTTCTGTCTGTTATTCATATCTGGAAATATGAAAAAAAAAAAAAGAAGCTATATAGAACCCTGACCGTAACCCCCCACCCAACCCACCCCCCCAAACACACACACACACACACACGCACACACACAGGTATGTGTGTGAAAAAAATAACACAAGAAAATAAAGTTAAACCAAAACTACATCATGACATTAACTGCTCACAGAAAGGTTTGATTAGCAAGAGATTTGTCAATGCACTCATCATAAGGAACACACACACACACACACACACACACACACACACACACACTCTCTCTCTCTCTCCAAGTTCACGTGCTAGCATATGGCTCATCCTGGAGTCGACACATACTGAGTGGTAAATAAACTGGCTGAAGGGGGGATGGGAGGTGGGGTGAGGTGAGGTGAGGTGAGGTGGGGGTGAGAGACTTCACAACAGCTTTGCATAGAATCTACAACAGTAACCAGAGACAGAGACGCAGCTGACTGGAGCTGGTTTTCTAAACTCTGAATTTAAATCACAATGGGGGGTGGGGTGGGGGTGGGGTGGGCAGCTTTACAGAAATGGGAAATGTTGTTGTTGCCAGCAGCTGAGAAATTATGGTTGTGTTGTCTCAGACCTTAAATCTGTGAAGCTCCTGAACCTGAAATCACTGTTCTGATACTGACAAAAGAGTTGTGGCCGCATTTGAACTTTGACCTCATTGTGCTTGGCAACAGAATCTATTTAACCATGTTACTGGGTGATGTCAGAATAAAGTTGAAGGTGTGTTTACTGTCACAGCAACTGGCTCTGGTAGACCTGTAGCATACATGGACTTCACATGGCCACACACACACAGAAATGGACCACCCTGAACAATAATAGAAACGGGTGCTCTACTGGAGGAGAAGGAGAGGGAGAGGAAGAGGAAGAAGACTGAGAAAGAAGGAGGAGGAGAAGAATACTGAAGAAAAACTAAAGAAAACAAAAACATGAAGGGTAAAAACAGGAGTACCGTATTAGTAAACAGTTCTCTCTTTCTCATTATCTCACACGTTGACACTAAAAGGAAAACGTAAAGGAAGGTGTGAAAACAGACGGGGGAGGGGGAGACAGATGGGTGGGTTGGGTAGAGAGGGGTTGTCATAACGACTCAATTGTTTCTCTGGAGGTGGAGAGATGCATCATCGCTCTGAGCACGCTCAGATGGTGCTGATGCAACCTCAGTGGGTCCCTGCTCCGTCACCACGACAACCGCAGCAGCCTCTACGTTTCTGTGGGGAGCACAAACAGGACGGTGTTGATGTGAACTTGTATCTGAGCACGCTGCAGTGGACTGGAAGACAAACTCTTCCCCTTCAGTTTGTATATGTTTGACATGTGGAACAGATGTTACACTGAGCGGTTCTTCTGGACCAATGACTACCGTTGTTGTGATTCTGATAATAGAATCTGACTCTGCCTGAAATACTTGATCAGCGAGTCTAGAGCCTATACAGATAAAACTGCATAGATGCAGATAAAACAACAGTTTTTCTTCTTCACTGCTCTAAAAACTGACACAGGATGTTGCTGTGCAGCTACTGACAACTACTGTTATAGAGCGGTGAAGAAGAACTGATTTCTGAACGTTAGGCGTTGGCAGAGGCACATCTTGTAAACAGGCAAGACAGGAAACTTCTTGCGGCCCCACTGAGAGGGGGCCCACGAAGGCTTTCTATTTACATTTTGAAGATTCTACTAACGTGAATATTTGGAATAAAAAATGTTTAGATTCCGTACATTCTTTGGCGATTGATAGATCGATAGATAGATACTTTATTTATCCCCTAGGGGAAATTCACGTGTCCATTAGCTCATTGTTGATAATATGTCAATATTAAATAAACAATAATAATTAAATTAGTCCACTTCCTTTAGCTGAGTTGTTTTATAGCCTGATGGCAGTGTTAGATTATGGTGTCAGATTATTTATTACATAACGGTGATGGACACTGTTTGGAGGGGCCCCCAGACAATTATTTGCCTAGGGCCCCAACAGACTCTAGAATCACCACTGGTTATTGGCTGAGGTCACTAACCGGCAGACCGTGGTCCAGGTCCAGACCCAGACCCAGATGCTGTCGTGTCAAGACCTGTATCTATAAACTATAAATTATTGAGATTTAGGACATTTGGATTGATGAGGTGCTTCTGTTCTAGCAGCTGCAGTAGGAGGCTTCAGAATGAACACTGTGAGCAGACTACTTTATTGCTATAAACTAATTATTTAAACAGCCTTTGTATAGGACTAATTCTGTCCCAAGCTGTTTGATCCATATAAGACGTTTCCACTGTAAAAAGAGATTCTATGACAAAATACTACATTGTAGATCTAAACTTGGACAATCAGCTTCCTCCTTAAAGGACTATCAACTCTGGAACACATCACCAACTGAAATCAAATCACCTCCAGACAGATTCCTTTACAACAAAGGTGAAATGCTAAAAGCTGACCAGAGTAGTTGTATCTTCTGTTAATTGTCTTTGTTTGACTATTTGTAGCTTGTTGTTCTGTTGTTGTCTCTTTTTAGACTCAGCATCTGTATATTTTTAGCTAATAGTAGGATATTTTCAATTGTGTTGATAATATGTTTTGCTATTGACTGGTTTAATTACATTTAATTACATGTAAAAGCCCAACTGGGGACAGGAGAAGAGAATTAGCAACAGCTATAAACTCTTTGTGCCGCTCATTATTTTTGTGCCCTGTTTTAAAACTATGTTAAAATAAATCGCTCCTATCAAATAAATAGATAAACTAAAACTAATTCATGTATCTGTTCATGTTCTACAAAGAGTTTATCCTGAGTCATGTCACACTTTAATGACAGATGTGTTTTAAGCTGTAGCTGTGTGTTCAGATGAACCTCATGTTGGATGAGACAAATATTTACCTGTGGGCTCATCCTGAATCTGTTCCTTTGTCTCAACAAACTCCGCTGCTGCTGCAAACACACATACACATAAGTAAGTTGGTTTGGGTTTTTATAAATCATGTGTATGTGTGTGTTCATGTGTGTGTGTGTGTGTGGACTCCTACCTTCCTCTGCTGCCTCCTCTACCTCCTCTGCTACTTCCTCTGTCTCTGTGGGAAAAAAAACAGAAGGCATGAACACGCAGACACAGAAATCCCCCGTGGATGCTCAGCTCCAGTGCTGCATGCTAACAGCTGGGTAGTTAATCATAGTACGTTTCAGCTTATTCTATTCTCTTTTCTAAGAGCAAGAGGAAAATAAAGTCCAACTCCTCTGAATAGTGCTACTTAGACTAATAACACATAAAGCAGTGAGTACTAAATGTTTTTATTGTGCACCATGTAAGGAGTGTGCTGATGTTTAAGCGCTCCTGATGGTTCAGCCATCAGTGCACTAATGCAGCAGGATTTCTCCTGGAGCTCCTGATGGTCAGTCTGACTACAGCTCTGTTGTCAATGTGTTTGTGAGAGGGAGAGAGAATCAGAAGTTCTCACATTATAAACTGTCCAAACCATGTGTGTCAGCACTTGAAGCTTTAGAGTGAGGTGCTGTATGTGGATCTTGTGACCATTTGACAGACCCAGACGACACCAGATATCACTGCTAAACCTCTTCCTTCTCACCTGGGACTGTTTGCTCCTCCACCTCTTCTGGAGCAGCCTCTGTGTCTGCTGATTCTGCCTCTGTAGCCTCCTCCTCTGCCTCCTCCTCTGCCTCCTCCACTGCTTCCTCCACTGCTTCCTCCACTTCTTCCTCCACTTCTTCCTCCACTTCTTCCTCCACTGCCTCCTCCACTGCCTCCTCCACTGCTTCTTCTGAAAAAGCTGCCTCCTCCTCTGCAGTGGGCTCATCAGCAGGTGCTACCTCCTCTTCTTTTGCTACCTCCTCAGCAGCTTCTTCAGTAGCTGCCTCCTCTTCAGCGGGCTCCTCAGCAGGTTCCTCTGCAGGAGCTGCCTCCTCCTCCACAGCTTCTTCTGAAGGAGCTCCCTCCTCCTCTACAGCGGGTTCCTCTGAAGGAGCTGCCTCCTCTTCTTCAGCCATCTCCTCCATGGCCTCTTCAGCAGGTGCTGCCTCCTCTTCTTCTGCAACCTCCTCAACAGCTTCTTCAGTAGCTGCCTCCTCAGCCGGTTCCTCTGAAGGAGCTGCCTCCTCTTCTTCAGCAGGAGCACTCTCCTCCTCTACAGCCTCGTCCATCTCCTCTGCAGCTGCCTCCTCCTCGGCTTCCTCTACTGCAGGTTCCTCCGCGGCCTCCTCAACAGCCTCCTCCACAGCCTGCTCTGTTGCCATCTCCTCCACCTCCTCCACAGCCTCTTCAGCTGCTGCCTCCTCTGCAGGCTCATCTGCAATCATCTCCTCTGCAGCCTCCTCAGCTTCTGGCTCCTCCAGTGGAGCAGCCTGAATGAAACAAACAAAGGTTATAAAAAGATAGAAGATATTTGCAGCTGAAACAGACAATCTTCCAGCTTTGATGTGCTCTTCTTTTTAGAGCCCAAGCTACAAGATGTAATGATTCTGTGTGGACAGTCTGGATAGATTTAGATTTCACCACTTTACACCTCTCAGAGCTAAAATCTGCCTAAATCCTGGACCTGCAGAGACCTGCAGTGCACTGTGGTCCAGGTACCTGACCCTAGTTAGGTGTGTTATACATCTACCACTAGCACACACACTGTACAGTACAGTTACTGTATGTGTAAATTTGCAGTATCTTGACAGAGACTGGTGATGGTGGCTAATGGTCTTCCATAATCCTGTTTCACTTTTGACTATTTGATGTACTTATAATCAGTTATAATGAAGTTACCACATTTTGTTCATTACAAAAGTTGAATTGAAACTGTAAATAAATAAATATGTCATCAGTCAGTGTTCACATGTAAATCCCCAGAAAACTACAGAAGCTATAAAAAGAAGAACGACAGGTTTCACCCTCGTCACCAGCAGGAGGTGCAGGTTTCCCATTTAATAGCTATTGTTTTCTTTGTGGGAGGAGGTGCTGACTGCAGCAAGTCTGCACTCCTACACAGGTGGAACAAATGTAGACTGACCAGGAAGATGAGATCAGATGATTGACGAGTATTTGATTTGTTTAAATGCACCTGCTCATTAATCTTATTTTGATCCTGCACAGCTGTCTTTTTCTGACTTTTCTAATTCCTCCATATACCAAGATGGAGACACTTCAGTCTGAGAGTAAAGTGTTTATGAAATCAGTAACAATCTGTACCTCCTCCACAGGAGCCTCCTCTACAGGGGCATCCTCCTCTTCTACAAGAGGCTCCTCCTCCAGCACCTCTGGATCCTCCTCAATCACCTGAGAAGGAAAACACCACCCACATGTCATCAACAGGTTCACACATGTATTACTTTAGAACTGATTAGGACTAAAGGGCAATTTCAACCTTCAGAAAACACTCATGCTGTGTGTGTGTGTGTGTGTGTGTGTGTGTGTGTGTGTGTGTGTGTGTGTGTGTGTGTACTGTACAAACCTCAGGAGTCTCCACAGCCTCTGGTTCTGGTTCAGGCTCTGGTTCAGGTTCTGGTTCAGGCTCAGACTCAACCACCTCTGGCTCAGCTGCTACCTCAGGTTCAGGTTCTAAGAGGAGGAGAGGCAGAGGGTTGTAGATTCTCCTTCACACTCACACACAAAAAAACCCCACACACACACCCCACTTTGGCAGTGACCACTTACACTGAGCGCCGTACTGAGTCCTGCTGGTGTCCGTTTGTGATGTCCTTGTGTTTTATGTTTAACATCATAAGTGATCGGTCACTGTTCAGAGTGAAACAGGCCAAACACTGATGTTCTTTAGTTGTAACTGACCTGCTGCCATCACCGTCCGGCCAGGAACACATGCCGCTGCGGAATGTCTTGGTTTTCATTTGGACGCACGTTAACGAGTTAGAGAAACACCATTTTAGCAGCTGCATGAGGAGAAAGTGGCACTTTAGAAACATTCTCTGTCAAAAATAAATCTCTCTCTCTCTGCATAGAGTTTGCAGTTTACTGGATTGTTGGATTTCTTTATTATGAATTAATTTCTGATTAATTTTTAACAGAAAATGTCACTAAAATGTCTCTGTCTCCACATGCAGCTGCTGAAGTGGTTAAAAAATATATTATATTTTTTCATGTCTGTGTCATATTCAGATTCAGTCTAGACAGAGACATCTACAGTGGAAGAAGTCAGTTTTATGTAAATGTTGCTGGTGTGATGTCACTATGACATCAACTGGACTTTTCTCTGTTCTTGCTGCGAGCCGCATCACGCAAGAAAAAAAGATGAGAAACAGAATCTCTAGAGCACATGATGCAGCCGTGAGGCGAGAGACACAGGAAGTGTGTCGCTCTAACCCGTTAACATGGGCACCGAAATGAAAACCAAGACGTTCTGCAGCCGCCACACACACACACCACAGCCAGTGTTTTCCTGGCCTCAGGAAGTCGGTCACTGCCGTGTATCTACACATTTAAATGTGACTTATCTGACTGGAATGACACAGAATTCATTACTCTGCATCGGGTATCTGCTGACATTGATGCGTTCACACTCAGGTACCTGGTGGTGGAGCAGAAGTGTCCTCAGCTACAGCAGCTTCAACCACGTCCTCCACAGGCTCAGGATCAGGCTCAATGACAGCTGAGGGGAGAGGGAGAGGATGAGGAAGAGGAAGAGGAAGAGGAAGAGGATGATGAATAAGAAATATGCATGAGCAGTTTAACTTTGAGAAACTCATGAGTGTGTTACATGCTCAACTGGGCAACATATGATCCACTAGGCAGAATTATACTGAACAAAAATATAAACGCAACACTTTTGTTTTTCCTCCCATTTTTCATGAGTTGAAATACACAGATGTCACCTTTTCCAAGATGTGTTTCATAGAAGACATTAGGCACTGAACTATGGATTTCTAGGGTCGGGTTCTGATCCGCCCCTAAAGAGATGCACATGTGCAGCCCACGTCATGATAAATCCATACTTCAATACCTAATAAATGTCTTTCAAAATAAAACTGCACATTTTAAACTTGTGACCGGCCCAAGGCAGACCTGCAGGGATCATGCAGTGTAATCAGCATCTTGTTATGCCACACGTCAGGAGGACGAGGAAATGCTCACTAACACAGATTTAAACACATTTGAGAATTCCCTTAAGAGTTTTTTTGTCTTACTATTTATCTCGTATTTACATGTAAAGTGATATTTTCATTAAACGTTTGCAGTGGTGTGCATCGTTATTATTAAACATATGTCAGTCTTAAGCCACGTCCTCTGATATCAGTTAACATCCCATTTCAAGAGCACTGTTATCGTCCCCATTTATTTATACATTTCAATGATTATCTGACGGCAGCAAAATAGCAGAGAAGAAATAAAGAGTAAATGACCGCAGCTTTGAAAACCAGCTGAGTGGAACAATAAAGAAGTTATCATCAAACAGCATTTCATTCATATCAAAACAACATTATCAAAGGTATTATTTACCATTATTAAATAGAGAACACATTTGTCACTTGGCTTGGCTGATATTATAACAGAGGGATTTTTTAATACATTTTTTTTTAATAATATATAATTACAGTTTATTATAATATTTTATCTTTACGTGTTTTTCTTATAACTCGTGATGATGATGTTGCACTGATGCGCTTGATGAATGTAATTTCTTTGTTGTGAAGCTCTTTAAAGCATCTCCTGTAATGAAAGGTCATGACATAAGGTCATGCATGCTTTTATTTTCTCTTGCCTTGACTATTGTAATGCACTTCATGCTGCATCAGTCAGAGCTCCCTTCACCCAGTACAACAGGTAGAGACCGCTGCTGCACGGATGTTAACCAGCAGCAAGCCATACGAACACATCACTCCTGTACCTGCAGACTTACAGCGTTACATGGCCTCACTCTAAGTATATCAAGGACTTATTAACCCCATATGTGTCTGCTGTTCACTTAGATGGGGGAGGGAGCTCTGCTGGTTATTCCAGGTCTCGGCTGGTGACTAAAGGTGACAGGGCCTTTGCTGTTAGAGCCCCAAACTGTAGAACAGTCTACCCACTGAGATCAGACAGGCTACATCATTATTGTCTTTCAAAACTCTTCTTAAAACATTCTTTTATTGGAAAGCTTTTATGAATGTCTGACATGTTTCTCTTCCCACGATACGGACAATTTATATTTTCCTGTAACTTACTTCTGTTTTATGATGTTTGTTTTTCTTTTGTTTATAATTGTCCTTTTTCTTTCCGTCAAGCACTTTGTAACCTTGTTAAGAAAAGTGCGACATAAAGTTTATTATTACTATCGTCATTGTTATTATTAAATACAAGTTTATTATTATTATAATTTTGTATTTTATATGTTTCAGGTGTGAGTGATTCTGTCACTAAACAGCAGTTTCAAGTTTATTTTGTCACATACCAAGGTTCACTGTACAGTAAGCAAAGCAGTGAAAACAAATTATGATAAATATCACATATGGGGGAAATACTGTGATATTATCGAACATCAGCCGAAGCCTATTTGTCACTAAAGTTCAGTTCCTCCCACTCAGATGAGTTAACAGTGAACACAGCCTCTGAACTGAAGTAAGGTTCTGGTATCTGGAGTAAAGCTTCCAGACAGTTATCAATGACAAATACCAACCAATGAGATCAGAGTACCCCGAGGATCTGTCACCAAACTACACCCGTGTTCCCTCCTCCCGATTATCTACCATCAACATGTTTCTGTGATGACACTGGAGGGAAAGTAAGTGTGTGTGTGTGTGTGTGTGTATAATAAACGTGTGTTACCCTCTGGTGTGGGTTCAGGGTCAGCAGCCTCTACCGGGGCGGCAGCTTCTTCACTACGGGAGGAGACGACGACGGCTTTCTCTTTCAGTCCTACATGAGATGATGCACATGAAAGTAGTGTAGACACAGGACAGGTACTGTACATTTTTTGTGTGTGTGTGTGTGTGTGTGTGTGTGTGTGTGGCAAACCAGCTTGTGTAAGTAAAAGTGTGTGATGTGTGATCATAGAACATTCACATAAAACGAACACTCAAACATCTGAAAGAGGCATGAGGGTTTTCTTTGCTGACTCTGAAGTTTAATTTATAAGAAACACAGGGATTTATGGGACAAATCGTTGTGTAGTAATCTGTGTTATCCCAAGATGTTGGTCTGAAAACAGAGACCAGTAGAACGATCTCGCACACGTTTTCTGATGAAGCCCCTGATGATTGACTTTACTTCACTTTAAAAAAAAGAGACAAATGAATCCAGAAACTTTATTGACAAAAGAAAAAACATTCAGTTTCTAACAGTGGAGAGTGTTGGACACCTGATTCATTTCTATCTAGTCATATCTAAACATTATAACACTGAAGTATCTCACACTTTATCAACACTACTCTGCAGGACTTTTTCTGACCCCTGCAGCTTTAATCCTCCCGTTTCTATTACTACACTGTTCCAATCATCAGCTCCCTCATCCACGTCAAAAAAAAAAAAAAGAAGAAGAAAAAAAAAAAAAGACAGGCTGGCTGCTGGCTATGATATCTATACCAGTCAGATTTCCAGCACATCACTGTTACAGCACACCGACACTGGGGTCTGCTCACTATGTGAACTTGGTTCTTCAGGTCCCTGGGGCCCCCTGCGCCTTCTTTTTGCAAGTAGCATGGGCATAGAGGTAACTAGCTAGCTAACTCACTCTTAAACATGGCCAATGGTAGTTATGACACATTAAATCAACTTAATGTTATGAGCCACTGCAGCTGGAAAATGACCTTTGAGCAACTATTTTACTGTCCTGTTGCAGCTGCTGTTAATGAGAGTCTGTAAGTCTTTCTTGACAACCGCTCATCCAATCCAGTTCAAACTTGCCAGGTGTGTTGCTGAGGACATCACTGATGGCTGATGGATCAGTTTATGTGAGGGTTAGGGTCTTGACAACCGCTAATCCAAAAAACCACATGGAGTTTGAAGTCGATCAGAAAAGCGGTTGTCAAGAAAATCCAAGGACAGACAGAGGGAGGTTTCTCCATTTACAGTTGAAGTCAGAAGTTGACTGTACCTTGAAACGGCTTGGAAATTTCCAGCAAATGATGTCATGGCTTTAAAAGCTTCTGATAGGCTAACTGATGTATTCTGAGTTCAGTGGAGGTTAACCTGTGGAAGTCTTTTTAAGTCTACCTTCAAACGCACTTCCTCTGTGATTGACATCATGGAAAAATCAAAAGAAATCAGTCAAGACCTCAAAAACAAAAACTGTGGACCTCCTCTGGTTCATCCTTGGGAGCGATTTCCTAACGCCTTTAGTTGGGGAACAATGGTTCCTATTTACAAACTCAATGCAACATTCTGTGACGTTGGGTTAGGGTCTAGACAACTGCTCATCTAAAACACTTCAGTCGACACTTCCTCAGCAACACACCCACCAAGTGTGACGTGGATGGGATCAGCGGACAGACTTTTCTATTCATTAGTAAGATAATATTCAAGGTGACAGATTAGCTGATTAGCAGGCCACAAAGGGCCATTTATCCTAGACACAGAGTATTGGCGCAGAAGCAAAATAAGATTTTGAGGCATTATTTTGATAAATATCAACATTACATTTTCTGTATTTTTATAACCATTTGACAACTTCTCAGACGTTGCAGGACTAACCAAAAAAATAAGTCTGAAACTAGATGAATTTGGTTTAAATTAGTAACTGACGTAAAATAAGTAAAATAAGAAAGAAGATTCTGAGTGTGATTGTAGCCTTGGCGGCACTAACATGACGTTGACTCTGACTTCCTGTGGGATCTCTAATTTCTCTGAACTCGAAATCCTCACTTCTCACCTCATTTCTTTCCTCTGTCAGATTTCTCAGCTTTGCTTTTCTTCTTCTTCTCTTTGGTAGACTCTTTCCCTCTCCCCTTTTCCTCCTGTGCCTTCTTTCCCTCCCCCTCAACCTTTTTCTCTGGCTTCTCCTCTTTCTCTCCTTGTTTCTTTGATTTCTCGTCATCCTCCTCCTCCTCCTCCTCCTCGCACTCTTCCTTTTTCTCATCCTGCTGTTTTGCCCTTTCCTTCCGGAGTTTTTCGATTGCCTTCTCCATCTCTTCCTTCTCTATCTTCTCCTCCTCCTCCTTCAGCCTGGAAGCCACTCTTTCCTTCACTCTGCCCATTATTTCCTTCCTCCCCAGCTCCAGCTCCTTCTCCTCTTCCTCTTTGGCCAGGAGCTGTCTGACCTCAGCCAGAGCCAGCTTGGCGAGCTTCTTGGCCTCTACACGTTCATGGATGATGGCGAGCTGCTGCTTCAGAGCTTCCCGGAGCTTCCTGCCCGCATCCTTTGGAGATGTTTCTGGGATGGATGATCAACAACACTGTTTGGGGTCTCAACACTCATTTAATGAGCAGTTAGGGGATAAAAACCATGCTCAAACTCACGCTGTTATGGGACATCTCCACATACCAGGCATGTGCATGTCTGGATGACTTTACACAGCAAGACCAGGTCCATGCCACACCCCCTGTTACTTCCTCCTCCATGCTGTTTGTAGACTTTATACACAACACTGGTATGTTATACTAAAACATTATAGAAGAGGATTGCCTACGGTGGCCCTGAGAGGTCAACACACCGCAATTTAAGAAAATATGTGACAAAACACAGACAGAACACAAACACATTCAGAAAACATCTTTATCAATTTGACAATACATGAGCTGCAAATACTCAACAACACAACGGATGTTTTTCCAGGGGAGCTGGCTGGGCCACAGTTGCTGTCTAATGCATCACTTTTATTATCATTATTATTTTTCTTTAATAATAATAATTTTTTTTGCCTTAATTCCGACAGCGAGAGAGAGGATGATATACAGCAAAGGGCTGCGGGTCGAACTCGAGCCTGGGTTGTTGCGTTAGGACTACGCCTTCATGATAGGTGCTCTACCAGGTGAGCCACCCCTTCATGACTTGTGTCGCCTGGAAACATTTCCATTGTGCTGTGAGTATTTGCAGTTCATGTTCTGTCAAATTGATGAAGATGTTCTCTGAATTTGTTTGTGTTTTGTCTGTTTGCATGTGTTCTTAAATTGCAGTGCTTTGAGCTCTCTGGGCCACTGTAGTTCACACCAGTTTCTTAAAAACGACACTACTTCACAGGGTTTAACACGGATTTGACTGATCAATGCAGGCAAGGAATTAAGCCAAAAATCTCAAAATCTTAACCCATTTAAAAACATGTTAATAACTCAGTACTCCATTTATTAAAATAAATCTGTCAAACACATACTCAATGTGAGTAGCTGACACAAACACTTGCACAGCACAGCCTCATGCATGTGGCTGCCTGACGGTACCTCTCTTAGCTCCTCCCCTGGCTGCATCTCCAGGCTTTTCATCTGACATCACACAGAACAAGACACCAGTTAAAACACTGGAATCTCTCACATATGATATATCTGTGTCGTCAGAGCAGTCGGACCATTTACACAAGTGTTCATCACTCCCACCATCCAGTATCAGTCACACAGCTCCTTCCATACACTGTCAAGTCCAACAGAGATGCTGCATGAAGCCAAACTCAAATACAGCAGAAGCACAATGTTGCTGTACAAGAACTCCACTACACATCAACACCAGATGAAACTCAAGTTGAGCTGTGAAGAATCTAACTTTTTCCTCAGCCTGGTCATAGCAGGAGAAGCACAGGTGAAATTAATTCCACTAGGGATGGCTCAGATCCATAAGTGTCCCCATGAGAAAGCATGCACAACACCTGGACCTAGCAAACCTAAATGGAATGCAGTCATTTTTTAAAAGATCCATATTTTCCTTTTCTCCTGTGTTTTATTTGAAGTGTTGATCCATAAGAAGATATATTTATTTGTGGTTTTAACAACCAAAAACCATCTCTGTAGTTTTACATCTCCTCTCTCAGGCTTCTCTCTGGACATTTAATAACATCATGTCAGAGAGCCAATCTTCTGATTGGGCACTTCCTGTCCCGGCTGAGAGCAGTGACTGCTTTGTTGTGACATCACAAAGTTCCAGAAGTCCTGACGGCTGGTTTTAAGGCTCAGTTTCTGAATACAGGCTGTGTGCATTTCTCTGTGGACTGAGGCTTTGATACTTTCACAGTATTAATATAGAACCTAGACCTGCTTTATAATAAAACTACATGGACATCTACCTTTAGACTATATTGATCTGTAGAGTAACACATCTGCATGTGCAGCTCAGCCACTGTAGCCAACGCCTGCAAACAAATAATGCTTTGGTTCCATTGTCACATCTACCCAGCAGGACGCCTGCCACACAGGGCTGCTTCGCAAGATGCATAATGGTAAACTTGGGGGATGTTGAGGAATAAAACACATTCCAACATTAACAATAAAATTTCTCTGTTGTATCAAACGATGAAGCTGCTGCTTTGTCCATTTTTTGTTTTTGTTGATGAACAAAATTCATTATTTGTATAAACTGGAAAAATGTCTCTATGGCTTTATAATAATCACAAAACTGGAAGTCATCATTTGGCCAGTGTTGAGTTCACCACCACATCATGTTGGCCCACACAGGCCAGAGCCAGCAGAATAATAATAATAATAATAATAATAATAATAATACACAAAAGCACTGTCCCTGTTGAAGGGAGAACACTGGCTTTGAATGTATGAACTTGAAAATGAGGCAGGAGTGAATTATCTTCTCTGGCCCAGTAACCCAGTGAGCCACAAAACCAGATCTACAGTGAATCAGAGACCACATTGTTTCAAAAGGAGTGCTTCTGATTTCTGTTAGCTTGTGTCAGCACAGAAAAGTCTGAGTTCAGACAGACAGAGAAAAAGTCCAGTTGCTGCCAGAGACTGATTGAAAAAGATATTTGAAGTTGCTGCAAATG